GTATTGCATGCTTGCTATTAGACTATACAAGCATTGACCCCAGTTTTGTTTACAGTAATATTTCCCCAGTTACTTGTGTGAAGTATCTTTTTTTTTGCGAAATACTTGTGTGAAGTATCTTATCTTGTTGTACATATACATCATGGTGAAACAGACACCATAGGTCACAGGATACAATATGTTCCTTGCTTATACGGTTAGAGGTTCCCTGAAGAGCGACGAGTGTTGAAGTGATAATCGGTTTGCTCTTTTCTGGATGTTTGCAATCTGTGCCGTTTCTAGTTTGCTCCGCGACATTGAATCATCGGAGTTGAAACAAGGAATTGTAAACAAATTCTTCATGGTGCTATGACATGAGATTCCGTCACAATTGCGGAAAAATGGCAAATTTTGTATCAAAGTCTGCACACCTTGGACGCAAGTAGCTGACATCGCACATCTATCGCAAGGGGGCACTGAACCATGACGTGATCCATGGATTCATGCATGATGCCTCAGATCACAAAGGCGGCCGAGGAAGAGCCCTTCTCTGCAATGATCTTATCGGTCGGTGTACTCCTGGCCATAGAAGAACGCCTGGTAGGCAGAGATGGAGGAGTAGATACCACTAGCTGAGGCCGCCATGTGAATGTATCCTCCTGATAACCGAGAAATTTTTAGCATTGCTCAATCATCTCCATTTTTCTTTACAGAGGGAGTACACCACTAGAGTTTCTCAACACCGACACGTGGATCCTCAAGATTAGCCCTCCCACCGTCGCATCTATCGAGCACATTTGCCAATTCTTCACTTCGTGGGCACCCCTTCATGAGGTCCAGCTTGACGACCTCACGGAGGACACCATCATTTGGAAGCACAGTAATAACGGCCTCTACTCCGCGGCCTCCGCCTACAAGGCACAATTCCACGGTCTAGTGCTTTCCCTTATAGATCAAATGGTTTGGAAGAATTGGGCTCCTCCTAAAGTGAAGTTCTTTACTTGGTTGGCCATCTAAGATAGAATTTAGACCGCAGATAAGCTTGAGAAACGTGGGTGGACAAATTGTGCCCTTTGCCGACTTTGCAAGGGAGTGCAAGAAAGTGTGCCTCACCTTTTCTACAAATGCCGCTACACCATAAGGCTTTGGAAGTTGGTCATCCAAAAACTTCGACTCGACCACATAGACACCACTACACACCCAATAGAAAAGCCATGGCATCGCTAACTATGCTAGTCACATGGACCATTTAGAATGAGAGAAATGCACGGGTGTTTCGCAACAAGAGTGCTCCTCCACCAATATTGCTTGCCATCATCATTTGTGAGGCAAATCTTTGGGTCACCGCCGGTGCAAGAAAGTTAGGGTCAATTATCACGCGCGAGTAATTACCATGCCGTACATGGGGGTAAGGGTTCTTATGTAATCAACTCTATTCTCCGCTTAATTAATGAATGAAGGAGCAAGTCTTTTGCCTCCGTTTCAAAAAAAGAAAAAGAAAAAAAAGAAGAGAGTTTCAGAAAAGAAAATCCTACTTTTCCCCGTGAGTTGATCCTGCTGTTTGTAATGCATGCATGGTCCATTGATCCTCATGTGCTGCATACACAGCAAGTGGTGCTGAAAAAGCATGTCAATTCCGGTATTGGTCTCGTCACCTTGGCGGCCAACTATATATCTGTAGATTACACGCACTGTTTGGATGGCTGACAACCTAACACAGCTTGATTGTTATATATACCAGGTATAACGCAAATTAGCTGGTTGGTCATGCCATATTTACTATTAGTCTTGCTAAGTCTCAGTCGACCGAGACTTCATTAAGTCTCAATCGATACTATATCCGTGCAAAATTTTCTTTTTAGTTTTTTTCTCTCTCTCCTACATATTATGTCATTTGACCGAGGCTTGATTAAATCTCAGTCGATTGAGATCTAGCTGCACCCATTTACCCTACCTATTACGGACGGGACAATGTATTGCAGTCAACCAACCGATCAGAATATGTGCCTAGATAGCTTATTTGAAATTTGCTCTCTTCCTACTCTTACTGATAATTATGTGCAAAACAACTGGAGCTACTTCATGTGGAGATTTATGTGCAATCATGAAACAGATAAAATATGTAGGCATGTTTGCAGGAGCACAGATAGGCCCAGATCGACCGGATTCACCAGTCACCACCACAAAGGT